GTTTGGACATATATGTGTAAATGAGTACAAATATGCAAATGAGCCACTTGGATTGCACTTTGTGTCAAATATTCGTATTTTATGCTACTGTTACCAAATTTGAACTGGTAATACTTGAGAATTAATATTTTAGCCCAGTAAAATTTGTTTGATAATATCTCATTCCCTTCATGTTTATTTTAATTATTATTAACAAAAAAAAAAAAATTTAGGGAGAAAAATATCTTGATTTTTATTTTACTTCAATATACTAAATACTAGTTATAGTTGCAAAGAATACGACTGCTGAAGTTAAAAATTCAGATTATTGGATTTAAAAAGAGACCAAGCTTGTGAATTTACTCTAAAGGTTTCAAAAGCAGTACTTCATTTAATTTGTGTACTTTTTAAGGCGTTTTATGGTGTTTTATGGCCGAAGGTATAACCAAGCTATAAAGCTGTTTTAAAGATGATAAATATTTATGTGTTTTTGGGTTTAAAACTGTTGGAATTCCTGAAAACATTCCTGCACGATGTGCTGCAGGGCGTGCTGCAGGATGTGCTTCAGTCAAACACACAACAGCCAGGTTTAAATGTCTGGTTTCATTGTTGCTCTGTCCTCTGGCTCCACCTCCCAGCGTCAGGCTGAACTCCAGCTCACCTGAGCAGGACGGCACGATTCCCTCTGAACACCTGGTCATCATTTCAAACAGTTTCTGCAGCCGACATGTCGACACAATCAGAGCACGTTCAACTCAAACCCATTCAACAGATTTGTGATGATCACACATCGAAGCCTCAAAACTGAACCAACTTTTAATGTTTGTAAAGTTATAGATTTATAACCCTTAACAGAGACCTTTAACAGGAAGTGTTCTCCTCGTTATTTTTCTGCCATTTATTTCATTACTAGTGTTATCTCTCTCACCCCACCTCCTTTTCTAAGCTCCCGCTGCGAGCAGTGTTTACCTCCATGCCCAGGCGGATGTCCTCCAGCACTCCGTCCACCACGTGGATGCCCACGTCCTCCTGGTAGGCCACCAGGCCGGCCAGCAGGTTGGCCATGCAGTGGATGCTGTTGTACTTGACGTTCCAGATGTTGATCATGCAGCAGATCAGGTAGCTCTTCGCCTCCGGCTCCTGCCACGGCAGCTTGCGCATCTGCCTCAGCACCTTCTCCGTGGTCACCTTGGACAGGTCCTTGTAGAGCAGCTTCCTGATGTACTCCTGCAGCGGCGGCCTCTTCTTCTTCACCGCCTTCTCCATGGGCGGYGGGTTGCAGTAGTAGTAGGCGTTCTCCACCATGGTCACGTAGCGGGCGTCAAGGTGCTGCGCCTGCTTTTTACGCATCATCTGCTCCTGTGAGCGGGGTGAAAAAAAAAAAACAGCTGTTGTTGTTGGGAAACACAGAACGTCACGGCAGGAAGCAGCAGAGCAGCCGGGGCGAGTCACTGACCAGCAGGACGCTCGTACGCAGGTGGGAGTCCGGCGAGCGGAACAGGAAGCGGCCGCACGTCTCCAGCAGCGTGCACGCCATCTCGATGTGGTGATGGGTGAAGTCAGACAGCAGCATCTGGACCGACAGGAAACAAAACATTCATTCTGTCATTTAGGCTTTTTATCAGAGGAATCTGATGTATTACAGGAATAAAAACAAAACTGCACAATCTGTCCACCTTACCAAGTTTTAAAACCTTATATCAGCCAAAAAGTCTTTTTCATCTTGTTTTGAGACTGATTTACTA